CACAACCTCAAATATACAAGGACAAATATGGGGGAGCTCCGTCAGGCTTGGGGACCCCTAGAGGTGCCACTCCGGTCTCCTGGACCCACCCTGTCCACCTCCACCCATCCTCTCACCTGGGCAGGGCTGGTCCCATTGGTGACAGGTGATGGCAGTGGACCTGTGGGGACAGTGTGTCAAGGGCTGCCCGGCCCCCCACGCTCCACCCCCACCCTAGACCCCCAGGGCAGCAGCCCACCTTCCACATGCTCCTCGGTGGGTGTGACCCGCAGCCTCTTGAAGTGCTCGTCCGTTTCCGGGTCCACCACCAACAGCCGGGCCTCATCCTCTCGTGCCTTGATGCTGGCAACCACCTCTGCGTGGCGCAGTCCCTCCACATTCTGCCCGTTCACCTGCCGCCGGCAGCACAGGGCAACGCTGAGGGCAGGCCCCCACCAGCCCCCCGAGCTGCCTGGCCAGGTGTGGCATCAAATATTCATCGATGTTGTCACCAGCCACGGCAGCAAGAGGAATGCCAGCTCAAGTTCCCAGAAACTCCCCTCCTCCCAGGGAGGACCTGGGGCTCACACACACACAGGGGACGCGGGCACAGACATGCAGACGGTGGACACAAGCACAGACACGCACACAGGGGACGCGGGCACCTGCCACCCCAACGCCCTGGTGATGGGTACCTCAATCAGTCGATCTTGGGCTCGGAGGCCAGAGTGGGCGGCCGGCGAGCCCACGTCCACCGAACGGATGTACTGTCCTGGCCGGGACTTGTCACTGTGCAGGTTGAACCCATAGCCCTGAGGGCCCTTTCGAAGGTGGCAGAGCCTCGGGCGAAGCTCCCTCGGGGGCCCATTGACATCCTGCAGGCATGCGGGACAATCTTCAGCTCCGACCTCCCATCCCAGAGGCCACTGACACCACCCAGTGTGCAGCCCAGCAGTGGTGGTGGGCAGGAGGGAGCCACAACCCCGCCCTGGGCATCAGGCCCTGCCCAGTGGCAGAGACAAACACTGTACACCCACACCCGGCGGGGGGGCGGGGGGGCATTAGGCTGCCTGTGACTGAGATCCAGCTGTGACATCTTAGGCAAAGTCTTAGTTTCTAAACCCCAAAATGACTTCTGATAGGGCCAGGGGCCTTAGGGATGTTGGGAGAATTAAAGGGCTCAAGGACAGCACTGAGCACAGGCCCGGTCCTAAGAGAGGCCAAGTGAGACCAGCTGCCACTCAGTTATCCAAACATATGTTCGCAAACATGCTACACAGACACATAAGGCAACCCACACCTATGAAGGGATGGCCCAGTGCGAGGGGCCCTGTGGCCTCTTCCTACACCCTCCACATTAACCTTCAGGGCAGGATCTGTCAAGACCCCCAAAAGGGAAAAGAATTTGAGGGGCACAGATTTGGGGGCATCCCGGGGCATAAGGCCAGGCTGAAGTCACATCTGGGTTCGAAACCATACTGGCCATCCCGACCTCAATCCAGCACAGCTGCCTCTCATCACACAAGCCAGGAATGTTCTCCTAATGTCTAGCCTTAACCTCTCTCCTTAGGAGAGACCGGGACCCACGGAGCCCCAAACCTGGCACCGGACCCACAAGCTGAGGGGCTGCAATCCAATGACCCAGCAGGGAGGCCCTGCGGGAGAGCAGGCAGCAGTGGGTCTGGAGGGGGCGCAGGCGGCCGGCGCATTGCTCACATTCCTCACTCCCAGCCCTGGCTCAGAGCACTTCCTGCCCTCTCCCAGCCAGGCCCTCAGGCTCCCACGGCTCCCAGCAGGGCCGCCCCAGAACTGGACAAGCTCTGGCCTCCCAGCTGTGCCTGTAACCAGACAAAGAGGCTGGCATGGGGGTACCCCAGGATCAGGCTGTGCCGCCCCCCCCAGATGGTGACTCACCAGCCCTGGCAGAGGAGAAAAGCCCCATTGT